AAGCTAATTAGCTTTCTCAAACGGTTTGTCAGGGCGAGGCGAGGCATTCCTCAAAGGTCCATTTTATTAGAGATGCAATATTGGCACATCTGAGAAAACCCGAATGTGAAAGCTTCCAGGTTTCCCTATTGAAAAGAAAATCCAAGTCCCTGCCCCAGTACCCACATGTCCATCACATGTTACAATCAATGCACTGTCCCAACTGGGGATGTTTCCCAGTCCCACCCCTTCAGATGCAGGGCAGAGTGGCCTTGACTCTCAGAGAAAGGAATGTTATTATGACTATATATCTCTAAATGTGGCAGGCCTGAAGATCCAATGCCCAAGATGGCTTCCAGGCCTGACACTGTTTCTTTTTGGCAGCATACATCTATTGGATGCACCTTAATTACAGACATTCAGACAACTACTAGACGGCAAGCAAGATTTTTAAAAAAACAACATCAATTTTTTATTGCCACCAAGTGATCATTAGATTGAAAGGTTGACTTGTTGATTCTTAATTTTTTTTCTTTAACTTCAATCAGTTGTTGATACAATCTGAAAGGAAAAAAATGATATCGCATGGAGTAGCCAAATTGTTGTGCATAACAACTGGAGGAAGCTTTTCATATACTAAAAAGTCTCCTCCAACCAATATGCCCAGTGTTCCTGAAGCTGGAATTTTAGTGAAGAAAGCAACACAATGACCATATTAGAATGTTGTGCATTCAAGCTGTTTGGACAGCAGACCAGCACAGAACCGAATCCAAGTTACAGAACATTGTGGTGGCAGCAAGATTTAGGGTGCCATGATATCCTGCTAGCTGTGGGCAAAAGCAGCTGAATGTCTTACTAGGGATGACTTGTTATACTCAAATCTAATTTTTTAAAAAATGGATCAATGTTAATATTTTCTTTAATTTTTAAGCAATTAGCTAGGACAACTTTAATTTTCCTGATTTGAACCATTAAAAGAGAATGTAAAAGATGATGGCTATTCAAAAAGCGTATCAAAACAAACTCTACAGGAATATCTTCAATTCTGTAAATAATCCTCTAAGTCTCTGGAGTTGTCTGACAATAAAAGTCTTGTGACTTGTGCATTTCATTGTTGATAATGTTGTATGATGGCTATAATCCTTTGGTACCTCAACAGCTGTTACTGGTAATCCACTATGTAACTCCATGTTGATAAGGCTTTACTAAAAGGAAAAAATGCAACATGCACTTCGCACTATGATCCCAGAAATCTACTCAGCCTTTGACAACTGAAATAATATGACAACAGTGCTGGTCTAGAAATAATACTAGTATCTTTTAGATTGTTAAATTTAACTTGTTAAATGTTCTCAAGTTTCTGCTATGGAGAAATCCAAATTCACATACCAAAATAAAATGGTTTACTCTCAAATCAATCATGGCTTCTTTTAAAAAAATAGTTTACTTTAGTTAAGCTGTTTAAAATCCTTTTTTTTTAAAAATCATTTCCTTTTAAGGTACTTCTAATTTCCTTGCTGAAAGCCCCTATTTATTGATCACATTTTGCAAAGTTAGTTGCACCTATCACACAGTAAAATATCAATCATTTTGATATTTGATAAATTGCACTTGTCAGAGAGTAAAATATCAATCACAATCATTTGTTCTCAGTGATAAAGTAAGCTGCACCTACAAGTCAGATTCCTGTAAACATTGATTAATTGCGATTCATTAATTAATTAGACAACCTACCTGTCTTTCTTTAGTGGACAGAAACAGAAGCAATAACTCTGTAACTATCAAAGAGAAGCAGAGAGATCCAAACAATTGATATTCTTTCCACTGGATCCAATAAAAAGAAATTAATATGGATAGTTGCAGAGATGATGATTGCATGCCGTTCCAGGAGGATATGTCTGGGGAGTGCTATCCTAGAATCTGAAGATCCTTCCTTACAAAGCATTCAGAATCATATAATCATAAAGTTGGAACTGGGCATTTAAGCTAATGAATCCATCTCCTGTCTTGGGGCAAGAATTCAAATTAAAGCATCCATGACAGTTTCTGCTTGAACATATTTAGTGAACAAAGAGCCCATTAGTTCCACTGCCAAATTGTTCTGAGTACCAAGAAGCCTTTCTAGCAATCAATGAGAATTTACTTTCTGTATCTATTATTTCATGTCCTGCACTATGGAGCAATGGAGAACATGTCTTGCTCTTCAGTTTGACATATTTCAGATACTGTATTTAAAGAATTCTATTGGATCCCCAGTCTTTTCTTCTCATGATCAAGAATTCCCTATTCCTTTAAACTCTTTTCTTTTTAGTCCTTTGATTATTCTAACTCCTTTTCTCTGAATGTCCCAGATTATTTGAATCCTCTTAATATGAGATAACAGTGCGGAACACAATACTGGAGATGAAGTCTGCAATGTGCTGTGATAGTAAACATATTACTTCCTGTGATTTCCTATCAAAATGATATATCTTCTTTTAACTTCTCAGAGAAGAGATAAACAGGTATCATGACATACCCCCATGTGAATTTTATTTATTTGATTTATTTAGAAAAATTTATATGGCTGCCCAACTCACTCTCAGCTTACAAAGATGAAAACCCCAATATGGAAACAATAAAAAGCAATCCCCACTCCCCTTGGCAACAATTCTCAAATAAGCCATTTGATGAGCTCCATTCCACTGTGGGGTCCCCAGGCCTGTTGGCAAAATCAAGTTTTCAGGGTCTTGAAAAAGACTATCAAGGTGGGGGCCAATCTTATCTCAAGTATGATGCTCTACAGGGAAGGAGCCACTAGGGAGAAGGTCCTTCTTCCTGGTCCTATTAGATGGACCTTCTTAGAAGGCGTCCCATAGAATTCCCAACCTCCCCACTCTGGTGGGTTGGGTAGAATGATATTAAACACTGTGCTGTATGGAGATTTAAAAAGATCTGTTAGTTCAGTACTGGTAGAGGGTTTGAACTATATAAAATAGTATCTAGCTATTCATGTCTTAAAAGTCCCATTAAGGATGAAACTGGTCGTGGGTTACCTCTTGTTAGTCAATATTCCTGTCATATGGAAGCTATATCTAAATTTATGAATTCCAAAACTGTATTGACAACCCCATCATATTATTGATTCATATTCAATCTGCAATGAAATACTATTTATACATCTTTTCCTCATCCTGGAATGCCCCATCCACAATAATCCACTGTATTCTCCAAGCAACACACCTCATAATAGCGCTATTACGATCCTAATGACAAGAAGACTGTTTATTCATGGGTTTTATTATTATGTAAGTCTATTTATTTATTGTATTTCTATCCCAGCAGTCAGGAGACAAACTCTTGGCAATTTTATTATGCAAAGTGTGCTGTTTATTTCATTAAAGATCTACTTTTGTATGTTACAGATATATATCTCCTAATATATATGCCATACCAGAACATTGTTTTCTTATTAAGGTAGCCACTACTGGAAGGAAATTTATTAGACCTATATAGACAACTGTCAATTTTCAATGCTGATCTCTTACAGAATACTGAACATATTTCTTGACTGAACTTTTATGAGCTGATCACTCTTCTCAAATCTTTTCTCTAAATATCTCTTGTGTTTTTGAATAAAGGCATTTTTTTAAGATTAGTGAACAAATCTTGTAATATCAATCTATAGCAACCTTAAATAAAAATCAGAGTAACATACTGTTTCCCCATTACACAATTAGGCTGATGTAGCAGTGATGATATGCAAAGTTCTGTTTACAGCAACAGGGATTCCATAAACAGAAGTGAGCTAATGTACCTATGGCTACTTGGAATACTTTGTGCAGACAGGATTGTGCTATATGAAGATGAATGGCTATCCGTGCACACACACACATAGAAAATATACAGATGGCTGTTCAGCTAATATTGCATTCTATGATTCATTACAGGTTATTCTTCTTTATCACTTCCATTTTTCCCCTTTCACTGGAAACTGTATCTTATTGGAGATGTATAAATCTTCCCTTGAGAAGCCAGGAAAATATCTCATGCTGACAGTTATTTTCTTTGTACAACTCCTCCACTGTTATATTGGAAGACAGAAGAGGCCACTTTGTTCTCCCTCCTTTCCTCCTGTTAATTATAAATGCTGATTCAATTTAATTTCTTCCTACTGGGTTTAATAAAACATGAAGTTGGTTATTTCAAAAACCAATCCCAAGATTCTTCTTTCTTTTCTCCTCTACATATACAGTATTTTAAACATACTGCATACAATTTACTGGCAGATAAACATGTGCTAAGAGGCAATAGATATTTAGTTATACATTTACTCTTCACATATTTACTTATAGATGCTGATTGAAATTGTATTGATTCTGTCTTCCTTTCAACAGATGTTACTTAAATATGGACAAACATGAAATATTGGGGGCTCCTTGTTATTTTATATACAGCTTTCAAATTCAGAATGTGTTCAATTGTTATATAGTCTGAACTAGTTTTTCTCTATACTCTACATTCAGAAAACTAAAGTTATTTCAGGTTCAATAATATTTTCAGCTGCTAAATTTGATTCCATACCTGCACTATCTTCTTTAAAAGTTCAGTAACTAATTTGTTATTTTGAAGTCAAATGTAACTGTATTCAGATACATTTTATATAATTTTGTTTGCTGTTATTGCTATGATATAACACAGGCAAATAAACACAGATACATGTTAAAATGATAAAGGTTTGTTGGCAAGATTTCAGAAGTGATTTGCCATTGCCTGCTTCCTAGAGCTGAGACAGAATGACTGGACCAATATCACCCAGTTGGCTTTGTGCCTCACAATCTCCTGGTTTCTATCCTGTGCCTTAATTACTACATCAAATTGTATCTCTTATTGCCTTTGCTTTAGTGAAATTGTTGTCATATTTGACCAAACATAAGATAAGACTAGAAAATATATTTCAATTTATCCTGGATATTAATTCTTGTCTTCTCAAATGAAAAACAGCATGTGCAATATATACTTCATTGATATAAATCTCTGATGAAGCCAGATTTAGAGTAGTGGAAAAAGTCCAACTATGTGTGAGTGGATATCCACTCTTGCAATGGAACTTTCCCTTGCTCTCTTTCAATTTGATGCCAGTTCTCTCGTATGTAACTGAGAAGTCACAGGATCTTCAAGAAGGCGAGAGGATATGTTATGCTATCAGATGTTGTACCATTGTTGCACGCCTTTACTACCAATGATGCCTAGTTTTATTACTCGGCTCTGAAAAGCATATTCCAAAACTCAAAACAAGATAATAATTTTCAGCCATCCCACAAATGTCTTCACAATTGTTTTTATTCCATTAAAAAAGGATTACTTTTAAGTAAGCATGCCTAAGTTTTCAGCAATAAAAGAACAAAGGGTTGAAGCACTGTTTCTACAAGCCTGATAAAGGTTTATAAAATGAATAGCTCTATAACACTAATAGAGAGCATTCCCTCTCCATTATAGCATTAGTACTTGGCATGAGAACTTGGAATTAGAACTGAAGCTGATTAACAGTAACATTCCTTCCAAAAGGGCATAGCTTGGTAGAATCCTAAGAAATTACATTAGCTGCTTGTTAGATGGCTTTTAGAAAGAACAAGCAGGACCCTGTAACCCATGTTGGAATGTATCCCAATATTTTTTAGGCAGTAAAAAAAAAAGAACAATCATATAAAAGGGCAAGAACAGCACAACTGTGCAAAATTGAATTTAAGTTTCTGAATATTTAAAAGTACATGCAAACAGCATGCAGTTCAACAGAGCATGAGGCAAATTGATTCACACAAACAGTGAATTTGCTAGGAGGAATTCTACGGTAGAATTTAATCATATTAAATTTAAAACCAATTCTTGGATATGGCTCAATTATGCATCAAGCAATATCAATATGGCTTTGTTCTGTCACTGATCAAGTCAAAGCAAATACAACTCTACAAGGAACATAAACCATGCAAACAGACTCACAATGTTAACCATATTTCTATTAATGATGATCAATGATCATCATATTTCTATTATGATGGTCAGCAGCTACTTCAGAATTTCAAGTATTATTCCATTATCTGGAATGATACTCCTCCAAATCTTAACCTTTGAGTTTATCTTTCTTAAAAAAGCCTTTTGAACACCACTCTGTTGTTTAAGTGAGAACACAGCAAATGCTATTATTTCCAGGGACTTATGTCATATGTCTAGCATTTGGAATTTATTCACACTACCATTCTAGGTAATCCTTGCCAATAAACAGTGCCAGTATTAGCACGAACACTTCAGTAGACATGTGTAATATGCCATGGCCAATCAAGGTCAAAACAATTGAAAGTACTGTAAAGAAGTAGTTGCATAGTGTAGGTTATCTTCAAGAGAGCCAATGCAAGGCACAAATGTAATACTATGCAAAACCATGTAAGAAAATATTACTCCCTCTAGTGTTAAAATGTAGTGTTTAATAATTGCTAAGTAATGAAAATAATGAGGCAATATAAAAATAAAGCAAAACTAAATCATATAGCAGTTAGGCAGAAGGGAACAGGAACTTTCCCATGGCTTCACACCTTTATTACAGTCATCTAATGTTGGTGCTTTATAAACAATTTCAATTAAACTGTCAACATTTCTTAATGAATTATCTTCAAAGAGTCATGAACCGTTTTTATCTTTCAATCAATCCATGCAAACAGAAGTAATGCTGAGAATGAGAATGTATATTTGTGGTTATCTTGTTGTATCAAGGAAATGTTAATCACAGCCCAAAATCTATATAAAGGTATACCTTTGCCATAATGATTTCAGTATGGATGTCACTTTTTTAAACATACTTAATCATATGCATTTGTTTTTATTATGTGATTTTCTTCATGCAAGTATTAAGAAAAGCAAAGAATACCTAGGTACACCAAAAGGTCGGTTGCTGGACCCATAAAAATGTGAATTAAGAAAAGACTACACAGGGTCCCATTAATAAATATGAATATAGGCAGCCATATTGCATCATATGTTTTACATAAACCTTCAGAAACAACACATTGACAATTGCTTATTGATTTAAACTGAAATGGACCAATTCCATAGTACTGTTCAATTTTAATTGCATCTTATTTAACAATAATACTTTTTATATATCAGTGTAGTTTAATGCAGAGCTTTGTTATGCTTTGACAAACAAAGGTAACCAGAGATAAAATATTCAGCATTAGAGTACATTTATTTTATTCATTTTTTATTATTTTTATGCCACCCATCTTTCTTATAAGGCTTACAAAGTAGAAAAACAAGTAGAAAAATAATTACCACTATACAAATTAAAAAACTGTATACAAAATTGTGCATAAGTTATATACACAAGGTATATATAACTCCCACTATATTGTTATATAAAGGTACACAGTTATATACCAGAACTCTAAATATGTTTCTACTACCTAAAACAGCCCCAGAGCCCACTACTCAAAGATGGCAAAATAAGGGACTGCTTTGCTTTGCAAGGCAAATCTGAAGCAAATTGAGGGTACAATAGATATACTTACCTATCAATCACAATTTCTTTTTGCCTTAACAGCCCTTCTTTAATTCTCATCAGGGACTCCCAATTATTATAGTCCTGAAAGTTTGTAGCTGGATAACTTTGATGGTACGATCCACCCAGAACCTGCACAAAATATGCATTATAACATTAATAAATCAGAAAATGAGAAAAGTCTACCTTCCTATCATATTTATACATTTATAACATTTATCAAGGTGCTTAATCATTAATAAATAGCCAATATACTTCATGAATATATTTGGAAACTACAAATTCCATGTTCTTTCTTTAAGATATACCTGAAATATAACTGTTTCACATATTATAGAAGCTTTAATGTGCAATATTTCTGTGTAATGTTTTCTTGTTTTACTTTTTTATGAAAGTGAAAGCTAACTGAAGCGTTAACACAATTTTTAAAAAAATTACTTCTTTTTCATCATCATGGGATTCATTGGTTATGCTTTGGAGACATGAATATCTCATACCAAGAAGCTGGGCCACTGACCATTTGTTCAGCATTTCAATGACGCTCATACATAATACAACTATATCAATGAAAAATGTAGTCTTTAATTTTTCTTTACAATGACATATGAAAGTCAGCTCTATGTAGGGCTCAAGAGGAGTTTCAAAAATTAGGCATATCTCAAAGAAAGCTAAGCACAGTTGGATTGATTAGTGCATACAAGGCAGACTGCCAATAAATCCCAGGATTGTAGGCTACCAGGAAAGTTGAAAAATTTCCAAAGCAGGCAATGGTAACCCAACTTGGTACTATTGCCAAAAACATACACAGATGTCTGGGTAACCAGTAGTTAAGCTTCACTAGAGGAAGCTTTTTCCTACTAAGCATGGGGATTAGATCTGATGATTAAATGCCACTTCCTACTCTACAATTTTCTCCTGAATATCAGCATGACATTTTAAAAGAAACATATTTTCATCACAGTAAAAATGTATGAGAGCCTGTTTAGTGTAGTGGCTAAAGTCATTAGACTAGAAGCTGGGAGACAGTGAATCTACTCCTGCCTTGGGCATAAAGCCAGCTGCATGACTTTGGGGCAATCTCTCTCTCTTTCTCAGCCGTAGGGGAAGACTAAGGCAAACCACTTCCAAAAAATGTTGCTAAAAAAAACTGCAAGGGAAAAAAAAGACAGGTAGTCCTCAATTTACAACCATTCACTTAGTGGCCATTCAAAATTACAATGGACCTTTAAAAAGGGATTTATGACCTAATTTTGAAGTTCTGACATCCAGCTCCCCGCTCCAGGTCACGAGATAATATTTTGGACCCTTGGCAACTGGTCAGCATTTATGGTCATTTACAGTGTCTTGTGGTCATATGACTGCAATTAATGATGTTTTTTGCTGAGGCTCAATTATGGTTGTAACTCAAGGACTACCTGTATCATTCTGCAACCAGAAGAATGTTTTCTAGATCATCTCTACTCCTATAGTACTGGTTCCTATCTTAAATCTCCCTATGAGTTTTGTTTTGTTGCAGTATGTAAGGCATATGTAGGATATATATTATGTATCTTTTTTCTTAAATACCAGAGTTGGAAAATTTAAGACACTATATTTTTATTAATATATCAGTATAAGCTAATTTATTTCTTTAATTGTCATTTATTTCTAAATGATCAATCTCAACTGTTTTTAATACTTAAATACAACTTTTAAATAATGTATTCATAAAAGAAATGCTGATTCAATCAGGTGAATCTAAGCAACTTACAGTACACTATTTTATCAGTGCTATTAATGTAATTTGTTTGACCTACAAATATTCAGAACAGAGAACTTTTGATTCTGTAGTGTACAGAACTCTCACAGCAAGTTCTGAAGCAGAAAAAAAAATCCTGCATGACTAAAAGACAGATTATGTGATATTTCTAAATATTAAAGGTAGCATCCTAAAAGAGTCAATAAGTCAATTTAATTAATCAGTAGATTACTAAATTGAAGGAATCCAAAAGATGAAGAATAAACTATTTAAAAACTATAGCTGAACTGCTTCTGAAGCCCAGTGCAACAATTTTGTGATAGGCATGATTTTCTTTCAGTATACACCAGATAGTACTGTATATTATATAGACCAATGAAAGTTACATATAAGTGAGCTTGGCTTTGGTGTCTACATTTTAGTACTGTAAAAATATGAAGAATACATTGTAAAGCAAAAAATACAAAATTTAGAACATGCAATGTGAATACTGCTTAAACTGTGCACTTAGAATTTCCTATAATTTCAACTGTTGGATTTTGTATTTGGGAAAGATTCTTTCAATACAAAACATACAAATCTTTTTATGTGCTTTTTCTTCCAAAAATTATACTAATGGGGTCTGCATATATGTAATTTACAATATTTCAGATGGTACCCATGCTTACTACTATATAATGTGACAGAAGACTTGATCAACCCAGATGCCAACCTAAGAGAAATGCAGAAATCTTATATTCTGAATTCAGTGTGTCAAGTCAAATCACATACTATCCTCAGCTTCTGAGTAACAATCTAGTGCAAATTCATTTAGCAATTTTACATCCAGGCAGGAAATATTTCATGGAGCTTCAATGAGCTATTTTACCTGCTTTTTCTCTTTTAATTAAATATTAATATTTAACATGAAGAAAAACATTTATCTGTCTCATATGTGATGTTCTAATTCATCTCTTCTTCTTTTGTAACACTTTTACAATCAACACACTTCATTGAGACAAATACTTGCACAGCGTTTACACACTCATGGATCAGTTACAAAATTTTAAGACAGAAAATATGTAATACATTAATAAATTCTGTGATGATCTACTCTATAGTTAGTCACACATTTTCAGAAAGTTTCAACTTATATTCTGGCCAATGTTATAGACAACACTTTTAGGTGGCACGTCAGATGACGTTCAGAGCAAGTGTGTCTGGAATTTTCCAGAGATAACAGAAGGTCTCTCCTAAGTATAGAAACACTTGTTTTAATAAGTGTTTATATTATCTTCTTATTACAGTGAAATTCACTAAAGATCATTACACCCATTCACCTTCTTTGAAGTTCCTAGAGCCCTATTAATTTTTAAAGGCTTATCAATTTTTAAATTCTGAAATGTAAAGTATAATAACATTATTTCTGAGCCCCAAAATGTTACTATATGATTGAATGAAACCATACATTTAACAAGTTAAAAAAATGCCAAATATTTTGGCTAAATGAGAACACCAGAAAATTTTAATATAACTGTAATATAACTAATATTCATTGGCAACTTAATTGCTTGCCAAACTGGCTCTATGTAACTATGAAATGATGTACCCTAAGCTACTGAAAAATTAAATACTTTTTCCAAAGGTGTATGAAAAGATTCAGCAAATGGGTTTACTAAAGATGAAGATTGCTTCCATCATTTGTAAGAGACACCGCAAGAAAGAAGAATCTTCCAATTTCAATTAACAATCAATCTGGAATAGCCAGGAAAACTTAACTGAATACCAAAGCCAAGTCAAATATACGGTAGATTCTATCTTATAGTCCACCAACAGGTAGCAAAATAAGCCTTTTACAAGGGAAAGAAGCTATCTTGTCCTATTTGTCATCTAGAAAAGTAGCCAACTTCTGACAGGATCTATACTTGCTGAAAGTGCAATTACTCCATTAAGAAAAATGAAAATGTATAGTGAGAAAAAGGTAGAGTTTAACCTTTTGTTTCATTCCAGAAAATTGACCTCTGCAACTTGACACTATAAGGATTTTTGATAGGCCACTTTAAAAAATCAGCAGCTTGATAAAAACTGAGGAAAACATATATCTATTGCCTTCATAAAATTCTAAATGATAATCATTGGAATATGACTCCATGAATAAAAATTCATGAAAAGATAATTATGAATATAAGAAAATACAGTGTATATTTAGTTCCAAGAACCTTTAAGAGTAGATAAGGACATGCTATCCATACATCTAAAGCTATTTGACTGTACTACTATTCTCCCATGTACTTTTATTTCTGTACATGAATATAAATATTTTGGTTTTAATGTGTGAATGTTTTCCTATAAATATGCAATGTATATTTTAGAGCAAAAAAAAATGCTAGTAAACAAAGGTAAAGTGGAAAAAGTAAGCTATCAAATAATACAGGATATTAATTAACATTCATTCCTCAATATGCTGGCTTATTGCCAAAATGTGCATTCATAATAAAAAGAGAATAATACAATATTGATTTCACAGAATATTTTCAGTACAAGTCATACTCATGGGATTGTTGAGATGGAAAAAATGGAGACCAGATTCATTTGTTCAAGAGTTGAAGGAGCTACTATAGCTCCTTCAATTCTTGAACAAATGAATTTGTGCATTACTAAATTAATGCACCAAACCACTTGTCAGTAAACAGAATTCAGCCGCACAGAATGCCATGTATTAAGTAAATCATTGTTTCAAGACAAAAGACTTAGGTCTCCCACAAAAGTCACTGAAACCAGCTGAAATGTGCCATGAGCATACAACATGTTTATGACTTACGGTATATGAATCTCCACAGGACTGCTATTAACCAATGGCAAAAAACTGCATATCACAGTATTGTAGTTCAGAGATGACGAAGATGACTTAAATTTATTATGGCCATCCATTCCAAAACTCATAAGTCTGGATGGTTTACAATATATCAAAATATGTAATTGAAATTATTAAAAACGTAACAAAACATTGTCGCCCAAACAAAGAAACAGCTATTACAGTCAAAAAGATGTCTGGATCTCCACAAACTAATCCCAAGTCTGAGAACTGAGCCAGATCTTAAAGGACTTTCCAGAACTCTGAGAAAGTGGCACCATCCCTACATCTATAGGAATGCTATTTCAGAGGAAAGGGATGCAACACAGAAGGCACTCTTCCTTGGTCCCATGAAAAGACATTTGAATGAAGGGGTCTTGAGGGTATCCAATCTGCCCAACCATACACGGCAATTGGGTAGAAAGTATTGCAGACAGACAATCCCATAAATAACCAGGGTGTATGTCATGAAGGGTTTTATAGGTGATCATCATTTATAGGAGGTAAACTTCTTAGAGATGTTGAATCCTATATTCTTTTTGACACAAGCCACACTACATG